TATTTCCCCTTTGTATACTAGGGTACATATGGTTTTTGCTAATCCATTTGCTATCCTTTAAAGTGTAAATTTTACGTCTTTAGTTTTTTATTCGTTGGCATTTTATGGGATTGAAAATCTTTACATCAATTTTTGCCTTTAATAGCTATTATTTGGCAAAGATGTGATGCTGCATGCAATCAACTCACTTCGTTTTTCATAACCGAGTAATTACTGGAAAAGATCTAACAATCTAATGGTCTTGTGGCTCCTTATTGTATTTTGGGAAATATATTGACAGTCCCCTAAAGTTTATCATAGAGTTTTCCCCTGTCTAGCCATTATGTTTTCAATGGGGTTGGTCAAGTAGAAGTGAATCCTTTCTTTCTGTTTCTTTTCAGTGTCCCCCTTAATCTTCATGCAAATGTTTGTTTGTTTGTTCCTTTCTTCACAGTCAGATTTCCAGCATGTTTGTTGTTTATTTACTTTGTTCACTTAGTTCAGGTGGTTTTTAACAAGAAGGAGTTCCAGTGGTAGAGGCTCTCTGTTTTCTTAAAAAGTAGGTGCAACTATGTATGTTAACTTGTATCCCTTAAAGTTAATTTCCTATAGGAATGTGTAAACTGTAAACTGGAATCTGTGCAGTTTTTTCAAACTGCAATCTGTGCAGCAAACATTTTTAAACAGCAAAAAAAAAAAAAAAAAAAAAAGGGATTTTTAAACAGCAAAAAAAATAAAAAAGGACCCGTGGGTAAGGTCCGGTTCCTATTTTCAGAATTGTAATGCCCGGCCCGGCCCGCCCCGTCTCCTTTAATTCCAGGTCCGGTCCGGTCCCTTCAAAAATAGGGTCGGCCCGCCCCGTGCCCAGCCCTAGTCCACACTTTTCAAATCCATCATAAGTTTATTGAATTCATCAACATGCTTATGAATTGATGTACCTTCATCCATACGAAGAGTATGCAAACTTTTCTTCAAATACAACCGTTTAGCAAGGGGTTTGGTTATATACAAAGCTCTCCAATTTTAGCCACAAATCCGGTGCAAATTTGATGCTACCAACTTCACGCAAGACTTTATTCGATAAAGTCAGCAGGATTGCTCCAAGTGCCCGCTCCATAACATCTTTTTCTTCATCAGTCCACAAATTCAGCAAATCCTTCACACCCTTTAGCGTTTTTAAAGGTCCTTGTTGAACTAACAAAGCACGCATCTTCAATTGCCAAATACCAAAGTCATTGCCGTCGAACTTTTCAATATCAACTTTCACCGACTACATAGAAAGCTTCATAGTGACTGCCAAGCAAAGCCCAAGCCAAAACCTGGGCTCTGATACCACTTGTTGTACTTTTATGCGCAAATGGAAGCGAATTCTAATAAAGTACCAATATTAATGTTGTAGGTGAAAGCTAAAACAAACAATCTCAAACTAACAAAAGAGATTTACGTTGTCCGGCGTAAAGCCTACGTCCACGAGCGAAGCACGGCGAGGAATTTCACTAAACAGACGGAATTACAAAAGAGTATTTAACTCTCACAACCCAAATCCCACAAATTACAAACCCTAAACCAAATGAATAGAGAACCCAAAACTAATGGAGAAGATTCTCCCAAATTGCTCTCTAACTCATAAATTGACTCTCACCAAATTACCATACAAAAGAGCCACACACAAATAAACTAACCCTAAGGTCCTATTTATAGTGCATAGGACTTAGGTTATAATAAGAAACCTAATAGGAAGTAAATCCAAATCCTAATCAAATAGGTAATTAACAAAATCTCTCCACCAAGGTAACCAACTAAGAAGTCAAAATTCAAACTCAAATAGGACACCAAAACCAAATAGGTTACACAAACCTAATTTTTTGCATCATCCTAATTTTGAGCCGTAAAACCCAACACAAACAATCTCAAACAGAAAACAAGAGCTTAACATGGTTCGGCATAAAAGCCTATGCCCAGAGGTGAAGCACAACGAGGATAATTCCACTAAACAAATGGAGATTACAAAACGGTGTTTAAACTCTCAAAAACCCAAATCCCACAAAGGTTACAAATCCTAAACCAAATGAGTAGAGAACACAAAACAAAGCGGAGGAGATTCTCTCAAATTGTTCTCTAACTCTTCAAACTCACAAATTGACTATCACAAATTTGCCAAATGAAAGACCCATGAATTTGCCATGCACTCATGATTCCAAATGGTTACAATCCCCCCAAAACCAAAAAAGAGAAAACTCTCTACACCAATGGTGTCGGCACACACAATAAACTGACCCTAAGGTTCTATTTATAGAGTATAGGACTTGGGTTACAATGAGAATCATAATCCTATTGGAAATAAATCCAAATCCTAATACAACAACAACAACAACAAAGCCTTATCCACTAAATGGGGTCGGTTTTATGAAACCACTGCGGTTGGTTTTGCAATGATCCTTGTGGATAGGCATGAAAGTGCTTTTCCGCTACTCATTTGGCATCTTATTCGTTTACAAAACCGTATTGAAGATGTTTCTAACCAATGCTATACTCGTCTCTCCCAAGACCTTCCACACTTTGATCGGTATACTGTCACGACACACTGCTTTTCTATGCTTCATCATTTTCAAAGCCACAAGCCTACAACCACTTCCCTCTTTCTTGATTCGAAGGTAGAAGAGTAATTTCCACTCTTCCGAGTTACTCAACTCATCCAAAAAGTACTCCTTTCATGTCTTTCAGTGAAAAGACAATGAAAATAAGCTCTCCATATGTCTTTGACCGCGTTCTCTACAGCTAAAACATTTCCATTCTCATCCTTGATGTACCTTACTTAGTTCAAGTCTCTTGTCTTTCGTAATTAAATCCAAATCCTAATATAAAAGGTAATTAACAAAATCTGTCTAGAAGCAAACAATCCAACCATCTCATCCTTACGCCTAAAGATATTCTCACTTTGGACAATTATTTGGTGAAAGATAAACACAATGAATCTCTGCCGTAGACGGGACAATCATGACCATTCAGGAAGGGTGTGATGTGGTTACATATTTTGGGCATTTGAATCCAGTTCTTTAAAAAATGAGGTAAGATTGATAAAACAAAGGTCGACTTTCCAGGAGTAGGGACGCAGCTTGATTCAATTGGTTTCAGTAGTACTCCTACTTTAGGTCAATATTTGGAATCTCAAGTAGGGTGGCTGTGTTTAATGAGGAATTCCATTGCAAGGGCAATGATGAGACATGGGACCACTTAATCCGGTGGAATCTAGTGTACAAATCAAATGGAGCCATTGCAAACTTATTGAGCAAGACTCTTACTGGTGTTAAATCATTAGGAATAAGCAGAAAGTCCAATCTAATGGGTAGGATTCTCGGATTGTCAAGAGGAGTTCCTTTCAATGTCGTTAATAGATGTGTCAGGGTTATTCTTCATCATCTCAGTTGTCAAAACTTGAGATAGGGAATGGAGCTAAATTTAAATTTGGGAAATTTTTTGGCACGATGAATAAATTTCTTCATTTATACCGGTTACTATGAAAGTAATGTAGTAATTGATTCCATCAATTTCTTTATCAACACATTGAGCTCCTTGGAATTTAGTTCTTGGAAGAAATTCGAATACAGGATAGTCCTATAAAGGATATGGATTTGTCCATGCTACAGAGACTTTCATGCCAATCCTGTTCCTTCTATGCTAGAAATTCCTGTCGGTCAAGTTTTTAAGCGGTTTTTTCCCGTGTGGTTTGTTTGGATGGTCCATTTACGACAGACTTAGATTTTTAGACATTTAGCTTTCTCTAGACGTCTAGTGTAATTCATAGTGATTTAGGGAGTATTTTGAGCTGAATGGAATTATATTTATGCAAGTACTAACGATAGTTTGTAGGACACAAACAACTGACTCGACTTTGCAGTATCATGGTTAACATACAGAGGAGAAAAAAAGAAAGAAGGCTACTCAAAACAACTTGTGATCAGTGCTAACTCAAACAAACTTGGAGATCATGGCAAAAAGGAATTTTAATAATGTCAACAAAATAAATAGCTTGATCATAACCATCATGAAAATATAACACCAAGAAAAAATCCACAAGAGAATTATGAGACGAACGTGAATACTGGTGTGAGTTTGAAGAAGATTAGCTAATACAAGAAGCCAAAAACAGACTCTATTGATGTTCATAAGGAAAAATGGTAGAAAATAAAAATTGGTTTGTGTAAGAAAAACGTTTAATGTAATTCACAAATAGAAGTGATTGATTGATTGCTCGCTCACAAATAGATTTGGATGGTCAAAGCTCTTAGATTCAGCAAACAAACATGTACCACTTGAGCCCTCATATCTCAGACACTAAACAACCAATCACTATCTGTCTCACACCTCCTCAATAGATTATACTTATAGTGTCATTCATGCATCTAAGATCATAACTTCAACCAAAACCTCTTGAATATATACAATTTTTTAGCTGTTTAGAAACTTTAAGAATCCCCTATATTACCCCTCTTTAGCCACTAATACTCTGTATAGAAGCTAACACGCCATACCACATACATTCAACCACAAAGTGTTACACGAGGATATGTATATGTCTTTAAGTTTATCAACTCCCTAAATCTTAAGACACAACAAAACAACCAAAGCATCAAGTTATCTGAATTTTCTCAGCTATCCAACGTACCTACGGCCTAGATTCTACAGCCAAATGAAAGTAGACTTATTCCATTATTGGCTACGGGTACGTATTCAAAAGTAAACAATTTACACATCCCTCCAAAAAACAAAAGAAAAAAAAATAGCTTTCTTGTGATAGAAGTCTTCAAACAGAGAATTCTTAATCATAATATAAGATCTAAATCCACATCCATCACATCCACCCAATACAACCCCCAAAACCCACATTCACCAAAAACAAACACAAACCCAACAACCACAATTATCACAATTACTTAAGCACCTTAGCTTCAAGATCAAAACACCATAACCAAAAGAAAAAGCATAAAACTTTATCTGAATCAGTAGTGTAAGCAGCTTACTCTTGAGCTCATCGAGCCAGCGGCCGACACTCTCGAACGTGGTCTTGCGGGTGATATCATAGACAATGAGAGCTCCGACCGCGCCGCGGTAGTAGGCGGAGGTGACGGCCCTGAAGCGTTCTTGGCCGGCCGTGTCCCAAATCTGAGCTTTCACCTCTTTGCCGTCGATTTGCATGCTCTGGGTCTGAAACTCCACGCCTATCGTGGCTTTCGAGTGAGCGTTGAACTCGTTCCGTGAGTAGCGGGACAGCAAGTTCGATTTCCCAACTGCCGAGTCGCCGATTATGACGATCTTGAACAGGTACTCCTCCTCCCCAGACCCCTCCTCGTCTGAAGACGACATGTCGTTTGCTTTCTGGGTTTTTCTTGCTTCTTCTCCTCTGCTTTGTTTGCTTCCTGGGTTTCTTGGTTGAAGTTAATTCAGCAGAGGAATTTTAGCACGCAGTGAAGAATGGAAAGAATGGGAGGGAGGAAGCGAGTTTTGACAGAAAATGGTAGACTGTCAAATTTTGGAGGAGAGAGAAACTGAAAGAGAGAGAGGAAGGATGGCGCATGTGCGCTGCGCTGCCAGACGGACATACCGCGCATGTAGTGCCTTCATTATACATTTTCGGGCATTTTTTTCTTGTTTTATTTTTATTTTCTTTCTTTTTCTATTTTATTCTTTGATTTGCGGTTACGAATACATTTGCATCCTCTATTAAATATTTAAAGAAAATAAATTCTAGGTGTAACGGTTTGATTGGGCCTTTTTTTTTTTTACAATTTTTTTGAATTGTCATATGAATTCATGCATATATTTTAATTTGTCATATGAACAAATTTTAATCAATTTGTGATATGAATTTTTTGAAATCATTCACTTGTCATCATGGTATAAAATATCGATGATATCGGAAATATCGGTAATCCAAAAACATGGAAATTTCGATGGAAATATCGGGATATTATCGATATCGATAAAACTTGAATAAAAACCACGGAAATTGTAAGAAAAACTTGGAAATTTTTATTAAAACTTTGGAGAATGTTTATTTAGTCAATTATTTATTAGTTTATAAAAAACAATTAGAAAGAAATGCATTACATGATGGATTTAACTGATTTAAGTTGATTATACAGCGAGCTGGCAAACACTGTGAGTTGAAAATATGTAATAATTAATGAAAAAAAAGATTAAACACACCTGTTTAGACCTAAATTTGCACCGTCGATCCGTGCAATCAAGGCCGTTGAGTGAGCGTAACTTAACACCGTCAGATGAAAAGTGGAGATAATTCATTTTGGTTATTATTAAGGGATAATGTTATCATAATTATCTTTTAATAATAATTTATTATGAAAGATTTTCCAGCTGGAAACACGGTAGCATAATTCAAGTTAATCTGAATGTTTGGCGTGTGGATGTGTAGACGACAGAGGGTTGTTTTGCGTGCATGGATAACCGAATATTCTTGGCAGGATGCCAAGAATCTGATCAAGCAAATTGCATTAAGTTGGAACTCGTGGGCTTTGAAAAGATGGAAAAGATGGGATCAAGTTTGAACTTTTTGATAAGTGCATAATTGCACCTTGGTTCCAGCACGTGGAGATTATCATTATATTTAGATAATGATGGACAAAATAAGGAGAAAAGAAGATAATGATGGAGGTTTTAAATTGGTTGGATAGTTTATTTATGAGTCTGATCCATGTAAAAAAAAAATCTCATGCAATGCTCATGGATCAATGCAACACGTCCCTATAAATACAGAGGCACTGTGCACGGAAGAAGGACCTCTAATTCAACACACAAAACTGCCCTGCGCAAACTCTCTCAACAACTTTGAGATTTTTTATTTTCTCTTTTCGCTGACACATCTTCCATTGGCATCAACAGCACTGTGAAAGCAACCGGTGATATCTTAAGTCGGCATAGATAGCTCTGTCACCGTAGAATCAGCCAGTCTCGCAGCATCTTCCGTTGGCATCAACAGCACTGCGGCAAGGACGGTTGATTACCTATCCAAGTCTCGGTCGAGAAGGATTTCTGAATCCTTATTGGTCGAGGTCATCTCATCAGCCTTCTCGGCAAAGTGAGGTGTTACAAATATTACATTCGGCACATTGAAAGCCGAATTTGATATTGAACTTCGTAAGAATAGTAAACTTGTCTTCAGGTTCGAGAGCCCAAGAGGCCGAGATGTGTTCCTTTCTCGGCCGCAATCGCAAGACGCAGAAGTCAGCCGCGCACCCAACGCAACATCAACAAAATTTACTCCTCGACCGAGCTCGGCCGACGAGTTGGCACGCCCCGCATTCACCGAAGGACGTAGTTAGCTTATTAATTACTCGGCCTGCGCGCCACGTAGGCTTGGTAGTTTTCAGGGTCAACATTTTGGCACGCCCAGTGGGACCTAGTGCTAAAACTACGAAGTTCACATGATCTATCTCGATCAGGCTTCATGGGAAGAGTGTCATCTCCTATTAAAGAAGCAAAAACAACTCCTCGAGAGTTTGGGAAGAATTTCTGAAAGGCAAGAGGCCGGGGGGCAAATTTCCACTTCGGCCACAACCAATATTCGGCCTAAGAAAATTGTTAATTCGGCCGAAGAACAAAGGCCACCTATTTTTTCGGTCGAGACTGAAAGTGTGGTAGGCCTAGAAGAAAATGTTCAAGTTTCTGAGCCACAAATTGAGTTAGAAAATGATTCGTCAGAGAAGTGCTCCAATGACGAACAAGACCAATACACGACTTCAAACCATAAAATCACATCGATTGATATGGTAATTGAAGACATAGGCCTAGCCGAAAAAATTACGCCAATTGATATGATTATTGGTGATAAAGCCGATATGGAGAAATCCCATTCGGCTAAGTTGCTTGAGTTAAAAGCCGAAATTGGTGAAATAATTATGCCCGGGGGGCATAATAATTGTTCAACACATTCGGCGGCCGAAAATGAAAAATATTTCATTAAGTTAAAAATATTTGAAGAAAATTCTTTATTCGGCTTAAGGCGAAATCAATTTCAAAATTTCCTTATTACAGGATCTCGACTTGGAATAAAGCATCGTTGGCCTCCCCCTGATTATGTTTCGGCTGTTTTCATTTTCTTTTGTTAAAAAAAAATATTGAATAAATTATTTTCTTAACCAATCGGCTTTTTAGGCCGATGCATAAGAAAATAAGGGGGTAACAAGACGTAGGCTTCCTTGTGCTCGGCTTAAAAAGTTGTTCTTTAGCCGAGCCGAGAAAAGATGTTTGCAGAAGACCCTGTGCTAGGTGGTAGGCCTTCATGTAACTTAATCCTTATTCGGCGAGATTAGTTGGCCGAATGAAAAATTACATATAATTACAGCTTTCTCAACCACTCGACCGACACCATCTCAGTTTGACAAAGGTTGGGACTTTTCATTACAAGGGATTCGGTTGAGTGGGCCAAAGCATGCATGGTTGCAACCTGCAACGCTTGCTCAATTAAGTTTCGATGTGCGGTTTTATATATATATATATATATATTTGTCAGAATGACCCATCAACAATGTCCCACCACATGAGACAGAAAGAGAGATGGCATGCGGAAAAAACAAAGGAAAGTTCATGAAATTAATGAAAAGCTACCCATTTTAAAACGTAGGTTTCTACGTGGGCTAGTCTTTTTGTTTGGTGATGTAGTGATTTGGTGGAGTTTGTCTAGGAAGCACTGATTTAAGTACATGTCAATCTGGGAATTCTTAACAGCATTACTTGGTGGAGTGGTCTGCGCTCGGCCAACCATTAGGCCGAAGTCGAGAAGAGTAGTTTGAAAAGGTCAAGGAAAGTTGGCCGAAGGAATATTAAGAACTCGAAAGTCCTCTGCCAATAAAGAAAGTCATTTGACTTAACTTTTGGTCGAAGGGACTTAACTGAGTACCATGAGAAGTAGTGGGTGGAAGACTTCGACCAGGCCATGGAGTGGATTCCTCAACCATATATAACATCGACTGTGCTAATTTCCTTAACCATTCGGCTTAAGAGCCGAAGCTCAAGGAAATTGGGGGGCAATGTTTAGACCTAAATTTGCACCGTCGATCCGTGCAATCAAGGCCGTTGAGTGAGCATAACTTAACACCGTCAGAAGAAAAGTGGAGATAATTCATTTTGGTTATTATTAAGGGATAATGTTATCATAATTATCTTTTAATAATAATTTATTATGAAAGATTTTCCAGCTGGAAACACGGTAGCATAATTCAAGTTAATCTGAATGTTTGGCGTGTGGATGTGTAGACGACAGAGGGTTGTTTTGCGTGCATGGATAACCGAATATTCTTGGCAGGATGCCAAGAATCTGATCAAGCAAATTGCATTAAGTTGGAACTCGTGGGCTTTGAAAAGATGGAAAAGATGGGATCAAGTTTAAACTTTTTGATAAGTGCATAATTGCACCTTGGTTCCAGCACGTGGAGATTATCATTATATTTAGATAATGATGGACAAAATAAGGAGAAAAGAAGATAATGATGGAGGTTTTTAATTGGTTGGATAGTTTATTTATGAGTCTGATCCACGTAAAAAAAAAATCTCATGCAATGCTCATGGATCAATGCAACACGTCCCTATAAATACAGAGGCACTGTGCACGGAAGAAGGACCTCCAATTCAACACACAAAACTGCCCTGTGCAAACTCTCTCAACAACTTTGAGATTTTTTATTTTCTCTTTTCGCTGACACATCTTCCGTTGGCATCAACAGCACTATGAAAGCAACCGGTGATATCTTAAGTCGGCATAGATAGCACTGTCACCGTAGAATCAGCCGGTCTCACAGCATCTTCCGTTGGCATCAACAGCACTGCGGCAAGGACGGTTGATTACCTATCCAAGTCTCGGTCGAGAAGGATTTCTGAATCCTTATTGGTCGAGGTCATCTCATCAGCCTTCTCGGCAAAGTGAGGTGTTACAGTTATTACATTCGGCACATTGAAAGCCGAATTTGATATTGAACTTCGTAAGAATAGTAACCTTGTCTTTAGGTTCGAGAGCCCAAGAGGCCGAGACGTGTTCCTTTCTCGGCCACAATCGCAAGACGCAGAAGTCAGCCGCGCACCCAATGCAACATCAACAAAATTTACTCCTCGGCCGAGCTCAGCCGACGAGTTGGCACGCCCTGCATTCACCGAAGGACGTAGTTAGCTTATTAATTACTCGGCCTGCGCGCCACGTAGGCTTGGTAGTTTCTAGGGTCAACAACACCATAATCATTTAAATATAATGATTTACTACAATATTTTACACTTTATACATTGCATGGTAAGATATATGAGTGATTTAGTTCCACATAAAGTTCCTATGAGGTTCAAAATTTTCACTATCTTCATCATTTCTATGTGCAAAGTAAGTTTATTGTGAAGAGTATTCATCAAATGATCCCCAAAATAGTTTTGCATGTAATTGTTAACATGCCACTCATATAAATATAAATATTTTAGCATATTATCACTAAAACATAAGTGATATATGGTGGTTACAGTCTTGGAGAAGTAAAATGGGAGGGGTTCAAATCCCCTTTGTGTTTTATTTTCCTCCATTTTTTCCCTTTTTTTCTTCTTTTTCTTTTTTTTTTCCTTCCTTTACACCGATATTTTCGATGTTTTAGCGATATTACACCGA